CTTTGCTCCCATATTAGCTAATGTTCTTCCAGAATGTATTTCTAGATTAAATCCGCTTTCATCTGCATTATAAGTTGATATCCTTCACCAATTACATCAATATGTGGTTTTACAATTTTCTTTATGTATACGTCCACACATATGTTTGCTGATATTTCTGGATCTATTTACGCATGAAATAAATAGATTTGACTATATTTAGGTGTATTCATTTTCATTCGTGTTTCACTCATAAATATAATGATGTTTATATAAACAGAAAATATTACATATACGTTATAGTACACCCGTTTATTTCGTTGTATCATTCTAGACGATAATCTTTAATGTTTCTTTATCAAAGATTTAAATAAGTAATTATTTTCTTGACGAATTTAATTTTCCTCTCGCAATATACATATATATCATATGTATTATGATATATACATATATTATGATAACTATTATATATATAACATGTGTAATATACAAAAATCACTAACGTGATTAGGTTTATTATAAACATCCGTTTTATCATATTTTTGTATTGCGGAAAGTTATAAGAGAAAGAGAAGCTCTGTCGTAGCCAAGTAGCGAGTCGATAAAATTGAGAGTATGCCTATAAGAGCGTCGTTTTTAGCTTATTTCTCAAAGACGCATTCACGGAACATAACTTTATTATATATGGTTGAATTTGGCGTGAAATGAACTTTAATTTAGTTGCAAGAAAAATTTAAAATTTAAATTAAAAAAAATAAGTGGTGGGGATATTTCGAAAAAATTAACATTTTTTAAAAATCTAATTACACCGTTGTAAAGTGCTCTTGAAACCATAAAACTTTTATTTAAAACATTTTACGATATTTCTTATTCGGAGATATTCACTCAGAAACGTAAACACAGATTTTTTTCAAGAGGGTGTTTCCACCCTTAAAACCGAATATCAGCCGCTAAAAAAAATTGCTTCGTGATTAGGTCTATCTAGTCTAAACTTATGCAAAGTTACAGATTTTTTTGAATTTTACACTTGCCGAACTTCCCTTGTTAGTAACGGCAACGATAACGAGTTACTTTTCACGAAAAGTAACAGTAACGGTAACGCGTTTCTTTTTTGAAGTAACATTCTCGACTCTGTTTAAAATTGATGAAGCTTATTATATATTTTTCTGTATATTTATGTTTTCTACGTAAAGAGACAAGAAGATTGATTTTTTAAATGATATTTTGAATATTTCAAAAAATTTATTTCTCTGAACATTTATTATTGATGCAATAGCACTATTTGATATGATCCTCAAAAGTTTATTAAAATATATTTCATTCTAATTTTAGGTGGCCTTCAGCGAAGAAACTTTGTGACAAGATGTCTAAGGAAAATGAGCAAAAGGAATCAGAAAAGAATGAACACAAGGATAAACAAATTTTAAACATTATGGAAATAGGCATTAATTATGCGAGACAATTACGGAATTATGTGTCTCAAATAATTCATCATCACTATAATTTCAATGCTACAATAGATAATTACGCAAATTTTAAACAAATATTTTATTCTGATGAACATTTAATTGAAATAATTTGTAGGCCTGATCATTTTATAAATAATTCTTTCTTTATCGATGAAATTAAAAGCTTGCTTGCGCAATCTCCACGGTAAATACAATATAAATTAATTGCTTTTAATATTTTAGACTAATATACTTACTACATAGTATATATATATATATATATATATATATATAATATGTATATAAATTAAAACACACACACATATATATATGTATGTATATAAATTTTCAGAAGAGCTGATTGCAATCTAACGGAAAGATATTGCAATATGAAATTGTTTCATTACCTGAGGCAATGTTCGGTGAGAGAAAAGTGGGAGAGATTTAAGAAACAACCTCATAGTCAGCAGCTTTTGGAACGGGGTGCTACTATCGTAGCACAATGGTTCCAACCCCAAAAAGATGTATTTTATTCGTTTGTAAAAGCGTCACTAGATAATATCGCATTAGAAGTATTGAATTACCTCAGAGAAAAACACCCTGACCATTCAATATTTTCGATTTCTGCTGAAAATTTTGCCTACTGGAAAAACAACAACATCGACGATAATCATTGGGATGAAATGGAAGGAACGCAAATTATGGATGCACTCGAGGAATATATATTTGACATATTAAACTTTAAACTAAACAAATCGAAAAACACAGATTTGGAATACATGTGTATAGATAATGTAAGTTATTAAAGATTTATATTATAATACATTGAAATTATGCCCAATTATGCAATTAAACATGACCATATATTCGTATTATTACATTAAAACCATACCTTCTCTCTCTTTTTCTCTGTAATTAATTGATTGTATTGTAATTACTGACACAGGTCTTAGAAAATAAATATGGCCAAGAAATAGTTATATTAATAATATATCACAGTGTGGCGAGGAGACTTGGCCTACGTTGCGATATAACAAAGGTGCCATATCGCTCCCATAGACGTATATTTTGGAAACCAAAATAGTAAGTATAATATTAGATTAAGTAATAGTTATCCGAGTTTGTCGATATTTTCTTCTTATCATACATACACACGCAACATATGTAATTTGTTTTATTATTTATAGTGCTACGAGTAGTTTAGAAGATGCAAGATCTTTTAACATAAGTTTTAACACATTCCCGGATTGTCTCGTCAAGCAACGGTATTCTAGAGAACCTTTTGCTGTAACAGCTAACGAGGTATTATTCATATGATATGATTTTTCTATAAATTTAACTCTAATTAATTTAAACTTGTAACACCTTGACAAAGATATGAGCCAATGAAACACTTTAGGCAGAAAAAATGCAATTTGTTTTTTTCTGTTTGTTAGAGAAGCTCTGTTCATATGTTACATCTATTTTTTTAGATACTGCTGGAGATGCTAGAAATACTTGTAAATTTAGGATGGTATAATAACACTTTAATGGTTACCCCGCAGGAAATGGAATTTGGATTTTACGTCTGGAGTACGAATTTAAAAGAGGTATTTTAGCATTATATATACCACATATTAATATATAATAATAATACTTCTGTGACATTTTTCTTTGACACATACAATTATATATGAATTATAATTATTTATAATTTAATTAACTGTAATTGAAAAGCTTTCAACAAAATTCCATTTCTAGAAATTACTTGACAAGAGATATCCATTAACATCTTATTTTACATTTTTCAGCTCATTTTTCACGTCAATGAAATAGAACAATCAAATATAAGACCGAAGGAAATAAAATTTGCGGTTGGAATGATTGTAACATATAATCAAAAAAAATTTAATCACTCTGCAAATAGTTCTGCCGGTGTAATAGTCGGATGGCACCGACATGAAGATAGACGGCATGTGAAATTTTCAGTAAACAAATTAAAGGATCCTGTGTTACCATTAAAGTTTATCTGTGGCAATGTTAATAGCACAAAAGCACATTACATAATACTTAATGAAAATAACGAAATGTGTTACGTCGAAGAGGGTATGAATATCATTTTGAATTTTTATTTTAAATTACATTTGTTAATTGTACGAACTCGCCTCTTTATATATAACATAAAATCAAGTCATTTTATTTTATTTAGATTTATTTTAGATATTTTAGATGTTTATTCTATTTATACTCTAGTTACCTTATTTTAATTATTATTTTATTTATATAATCTTATTTGATTTATATGTGTTATTTAGTTCACCATATATTAATTTATTTTTTACTTTTTACTTTAGATGCTATAACTAAAACAACGCCGAAATGGATTGATAATAATGAAATAGGGCGCTACTTTTGTAAATTTGAAGATACGCATTATGTGCCAAACGAAATGCTGGCGAGGTATTACCCACATGATGCCGCTATAACTGCAACAACATCTAACGATTAGATAAAAATACATAAATTGTAAAATATGTGTAATATTTATAATATGTAAAACTTTCATTAAATATGTTATATGAAACTTTTGACAAATGTTATATTAAAACACCAAGAACTCACCTATTATTAAGGGGTAACACCACTCTAGGATTTTGAAAAAAATCGATTTTTTTTTTGCTTTAAACAATGCTTTAACATCATAAAAACAATATGCATTTGGTTTTATAGTAAAAAAAATTTTTTAAAGGCTCTACCAACGATTTTTCCGCAGCGCCTCGGAGCGCCCCTTGAGCATTAACGCGTCGCGTTCGGATTCATCGCTTTTGTCCTGTTTTACCATTCAGGATAATAAGTGGCCCTGTTATTTATAGTGCAGAAGATGCTTAGGATTACTCAAAAGATCACCAGGGTACGCTACTGCCGATATAAACTTGTATTTTTGAGTCAGTACAGCTGCCAATGTGACGCCAAACATACGCATAGTTTTGATTTTTCCGTTGCTTTCCCTGTTTTCTATATATATATTTCGTTGTTTCTGAGTGATAAACAAGATGAGTGGTAAAAGAAAAATGTATAAAGAGAAAAAAGGCACAATGGGAAGTGCTAGTAATTTGAAGAGACCGAGAATTTCAAAGCGGCGACCGTTGAACCGTTACGAATTGGAGATGCCGGATCTCGAGAAGGCTGGCACATCGACTCGCAAATTATCACAAATGGACCTTGAAGAATTTGAAGTAGAAGAAGGATTTGGGTACCGAATTTTGAACTTTTTAGCCGTTTTCTCCGCTATATCGCAAGCTATTGTTTGTAAAAAATGCAAATCTGAAGTGACATTCACCGAATCTGCAAAGCGTGGCTTGGGTTTTAAAATTGTAATTTCGTGTCAAAATTGTGAGAAAATTTATATTCCTAGTTCTCCATTTATTGAAAAAGAATACGATATTAATCATTGAATTGTGCTTGCTATGCGGCTACTCGGAGTAGGACTAAATGGAATAATGAAATTTTGCGCGTTTATGGATCTCCCACGACCAATTTTTTAATCATTCTACGACAGAGTCGTTAAAAGGATCGCTATTGGGCGGTTTGTCAGCTCAGTATGAAAACTGCAGCTCAGGAAGAAAAGAAAAAAAGTGATGAGAAAGAGAATACAGATGGTGTTACTGTATCTGGTGATGGTTCGTGGAGAAAGCGGGGTTTTTCGTCACTTTTCGGATTCGTATCGCTTATTGGATGGCTTACCGGCAAAGTGGTTGATGTTGTTGTAAAATCAAAATATTGTAAATCTTGTAAATTTTGGGAGAAACAAAAAGACACTGAGAAGTACAAGGAATGGAACGCATGAAAACGAATGCCAAGCTAACCACGAGGGCTCCGCCGGAAAGATGGAGGTGGACGCCATTATAGAAATGTTCCAGCGCTCAAATTCTTTGCACAATTTAAAATATGCAAATTACGTGGGGGACGGAGATTCTAAGACTTTCAAAGGTATCATGGATTCAGAGCCTTATGCTAATTTGACAGTTCGTTGCATTGACGGCTATACTCAAAATAGCAACGAGAGTTTCAATTCGACAGTTTGATCAATGGCTCCAAAATCGACCTCCAGTGGCAAGCATGTGCTTGATACTGCCATATATATTGCTGTAGGCATATATAATGATGGCCTATCAAGTGTCATGAGGCTCATGCAAAATTTAGGCATGAAAATTGGGACAAACTGTTATAATTTCTGCGTCGAAACGGACGAGCGCCGCATCAAGTATTCGGAGCGATCGCTGACTGATGCTGCAAAAGAGGCCCGATTGCTATTAAAATCATCCAGGAAGGAAGAAGAAGAGGCAAGCATCAATCTGGATGGCCAAATGTATGGTGCAGGCATCGCCGATTAAAGGTAAACATAAATTTCAAGCATTTTAAGTGCTCGTAAAACTTTAAACGTGTTTTTCTCGAAACCGCTTTTTTCAATCTTAGCGAACACATTACTTCAACACGGTTGCATGGATCGGTTTGAAATTTTGACAGTAGCTTCACAATTATATCCTTTATAGAAGTACGTAAGGGTTTTTCGATTCGATGTAAACTTTTTATTTTATAAACAATTTACTGCTTATTTTTTAGCAAAAAATCGATTTTTTTTTCAAAAGTGCACCGTTTCTACAAAATTTGATTAAATAAAAAATCCCTACGTACTTCTATAGCCAATAGTATATAGATTTTAAATTTTTTTGGTTTTTTGGTCTTATAGATTTTTTTATATCTTTTAGGTTTTTTGGTTTCTAGGTCTTATATTTCACGAGAAATTGGTTCGCTACTGGAAGCGTTTTTTAAAAAGATCATTTCGAAGATTAGCTCTCTCGTCGCCATTTTGTACAAAAATAATAATAAAAAAATTTTTTTCTATACTTAAATATATGTTGAATAAACCCTCTAAAAAAAATTCCCATTCCTTTTATTATATTCCCAAAAAAAATTGTCAAAATTAGGCCTTTTTTTCGGTCGCTAAAATGGTGTTACCTCTTAAGTCAAAATATAATATAAATTATGAAATATTGCGCAACATAGACAATATAATACTAAAATATTACAATTATAAGTAGTGATATAGGGAGAGTTCTAACTCAGGTCCTCTCAGGGGGGATGAGGCGCGCGGGGGATTACGGTGGCGCGGGGGAATGACGTCACGCGGGACGGAGGGGATTTCGGAGGCAGCGCGTGTTAGATGTTTTATCGCAATGATACACAATATTGTATTACATGCCCGGTTGATAAAATATTTATAAACAATATAAACAGCGGTATTCTTTAAGCAATATTGTATTACATATCCTAACGCGTTGGAACATGTTTGCAAAACAAAATGGCTCTCGCGGTATACCCCCACCCCCACCCCACCTCCCTCACCCCCGATATAAGTAATTCTAGATTTTTTTCCGTTCGACGTATCCTTATCTCTCTCTCATTGAATTACGCAGCATGCGAATTTATAAACAATATAAACAAATGGCACCTCCCAGAATCCTCTTCCGCGATTTTTTCTCGGAAGAATTGCGACGCGTATCAGCGCCGATGTTCGGCTGCTTTGCGCCTTTGTTTTCTCCTTCATATAAGAAGGATTGAAGCGCATCAAATCATCATAGTATGTGATTTGAACGCCCATCGACGCGTTGGAAGTAAAAAAATATAGCGGTGTCCCGTTAGAAAGATTTTTGCGCGATTTCACGTTCAAGATAGAGAACGGTATTGTTTATCGTGTGCAAAAATCATCCGTAGAAAACGGTGACGTAGTGTTTTAAAAGTGTGAAAAAGACAGGAAAATGGAAAACATTGAGCAGACCGAACGCGATCTGATGGAGGGATCTCGCCGAATTTGCCACCTTGGGCGAGTATTTCGCGTGGCTGCAGCGTTGCAAGGAATTGATCCAAGAGCTCGAAGAACGCAGTCGTGTCAAGAGTCCGCGGCTCTCGATCGGAAATAGACAATCTTTGGTGGCTAAAATCGCGCGACTAGAAAGCGCGAAGACTCGATTGCAGAGACGGTTTATTCCCAGTGGTGGTGATTACAGCGGTGACAATAACGCGGAAAGACTCATTTGGCGAGAGATCGATACCGCGTTCGACAGCCGTATTCTGACCGGTGCCGTGATTAACGTAAACTATATCGAACCTCGTCAATTTCTCGAGGATGCCGAAGACATCGTGCTCGAGCAAGTGCAAGTTTCTAAAAAGACACAACGTTCTAAAAAGACACAACGGTGTAAAAATAAATACTATATTCAACGGTGAATTTGTGTCGGGTGATAAACGCGCGAATAAAAGTATAAATACGAGAAACTGTGAACTCTTTCGCACATCGGATTTACGCGAATGGTTCGAGCGCCGCGTTATCGAGCCCACTTTAGCGTCTCTGGAAGAGTTTCAGGAACGCGATAGTGGCTGGGCATTGTCGCGAATACAGAATTTGACTGTTAATGTAAATAAATATAAATCCAATGCGCGCGGGATGCCACATTAAATTGTCGCGGGAGATTATGATGAAAAGAGCGGTGGTTAACGTACAATCTAAAGACAATGCGTGCTTCGCATGGGCAGTGGTCACCGCTCTATATCCCGTCGAAAGGAACGAGAATCATCGTACCCGCATTACGCGACAGTGCTGAATCTCCGGGACATTGAGTTTCCAGTAACTTTAAATCAAATTAAAAAGTTTGAACTCGCAAACAGTATCTCGATCAACGTGTACGGCATCGAAGACAAGAACAGTATCGTCCCGATACGTCTTTCGGAGCAGAAGCGAGATAAGCATGTGAATCTGCTATACGTGGAAGACGGCAACAGCGTCGGACATTTCGCGTGGATAAAAAATTTATCCCGGCTCGTGAGCTCGCAACTGAGCAAACACAACGGTCAAAGATTTATCTGCGATTGGTATGTATATATTAATATAAAATAATTATATTAAATAATTTATATAAAAATTGTTCTAATTTTAATTAAAAAATTTTTCTTTTACAGATGCCTGCATTATTTTTAGTTCAGATGACAAGTTGCAGTTACATGCCGTCGACTGCGGGGAGATGAACGACTGCGCTATCCGGTTACCGAGCGACAAGGACAAGTGGCTCGAGTTCAACAATTACAACAGGAAAAAGCGGCTTCCATTTGTCGTGTACGCCGACCTGGAATGCGTTCTGGCCAAAACGGAGGAAGAACAACAAAAATTGTATCAACATCACCAAGTATTTAGCATAGCTTACTTTACTATGTACACTGCGCGACAACGATTCGTTCCATGACCCCTCTCTCGCGGAGCAAGGGTTAGAAGTGACCGATCAGCTGGCAGTGGCTGATTGGTTAGAGGCTACGCTCCCCTTGCCCCGCGAGAGGGACCACGGAACGAATCGTTGTCGCGCAGTGTACATTGTTCGTACGACGAATCTTTATCGGCGTATCATTCGCGTCGTAGCGCCGATTGTATAGCATGGTTCGTCGAAGATCTTAAAAATT